TTGTTTGTACGTTCAGGCTGTAATCCGCCTTCCCTCGCTCCTTCACTCCCTCACTCCTTTCTAATCTGTTGGACAATTAATTTATGCATTAAACGTGTTTTCCCCTGACTCCCCTACTAGGTTTGACTTTGTACCCTATCTTGTGCAGTTTTCTTTTATAACATAGCCTTACAAGAGCTCGCGCTCTGATTGGCTAATATGCTCGATCCATTCGCCCGTGGTGTGCACACTGACATCAGTTTGTTTTGCTTTTTTTTTTTCACGGAAACTTTTCTTGACGATTTTGTCACTTGTTACAACATAATTGTGGGTTTTACGCTCATGAAATATGTAGAAATCTTGTGACTATTCCGGAGATAAGAAGATAATTCTTGTGGGCTGCCAAACTTCGAGCTCTTTTTCTCTTGACGGGCCTCCAGCTAAGATTTGGAGATTTGCGAACTTAAGCGAGCAGGAGCTTAATCAGCTGGTCGAACAAAGACGCTCAGAAGACCAAAATAACAAAAAAATGGTCTCTATCATTCCTTCGAGGTGAGTAATAAACAGCAGCAGTTTTAGAAAGCGTGTTTCAGCGATTTAGCGATAATAGAATTCTGCACAAACGTTCAATGCAAAACGTTTCAGGCTTAGAAAGCCATTTAAATGCTTTCGGCGAGCAAAACTGTACTTGTGAGTTATAAAAATTTCTTTCCTATAAGCCTCCGCCATCTGTTCTTTTAATGTACCAAATAAAGAAAGTCACAGAGATGAATTCCTTTAAGCCATTCACGTATTCAATTTCAGTCTGGCGCTCAGAGAAAGCTATATAAACACCACTCGAAAACACGACGATTGGTCAGCTGGAGCACAATCTGAGGCGATTTTACGCCGAAGCACGAACTTAGAAAGGGGAGCTATACAGTAAATCCACCTTGCTTCAGTTCAGACACGCAATTGAAAGATATCTCAACTCTTCTCCATACTACAAAGGGCTCCAACTAGCAAGGGACCTGAGGTATTTGCGGGCAAACCAGATGTTAGACGCTCAACTTGTCAATTTAAAACGAAGTGGGAAGGAAAACATAACCCACAAAGCTGGTATTGAAGAAGAGCATCTCAAACAGCTCAAGGCCGGGGGTGCTTTTTTGCTTTCCTCCCAATACGACGGCTACAAGGCTCTAAAGCTCTACCTTGAAAAGATGAACCCGAGATGCAGTGCTTTTTTCCGGTACCAGAACGACGGCCATAATTCTTTGGTCCAATGCTGGCGTCCCAAATCGACGTATCATGTCTATCTCTGGCTATCGAAACGTGCAGTTTCTTGCCCACTACAACACTTGACCATCCGTTTCACAGCTTCAAAATTGCAGTTATATGCTGTTAAGGGCGCTTTCAGTCCCAAGTACTTGTTGTGTATCCACGGCTTCCTCAGCGGTGCTGCCATTGCAATCCACAGTCCGGGTGATCAAAGGTTCACGTCAAGAATTAAGTATTTCTCAGTTTGCTGGAAACGTTGCGCCACTCTTCCAAGATTGCTTCATTCAAACTATGCAGTTTGTTTTCAATTCTCTGGGAAACCGACCCAGCTGAGACGAATTTCAGTAAATATTGAAAGTCTCAGTGTTATAAAAGAAAAGGTTCGCGTGCAGCGTGCAACCATCGAGTTATGGATGCACTTCGTGAGGTTTGCTAAACACTCAAAATGATAAAGTCGCACTAATCTATCGCCTAGTGCGACACTTACGCTTCTTTCGTGCTTAGCAACCTCCCGCGTGCACCATAACTCGACGAAAGCTATACAAATGCCAAACGTGCGATCCATTATCTAAATTCCAACTGAAATACACGGAGAAAGCAGTGAACCCGAGTACCAAGGAACAGATCCTGATCAAAGGTAATCCTACATTGCCAGAGCAGTTTGTAAATGCATTTAACGAGAAAAATACTAATATCACAATGAAACACCAGTCCACATGTCAAGTAATTGTCGGTGCAGGAATGCAGATGAAAATATGAATGTACGAAAATCTAGACGAACTATTGTCTCCCATTCTCATTTTAGATTAAGATGTGAAAGAAAACCCTCCAGAATTCCTTATAGAATTGTTACCAGGATATTTAACAGAAAAAGCAAACAGAATTGTAGTGAAATTACTACATCTTAAAAATCGCACGCAAACAACGCAAGTAGGCCATCGCATTTCAGATAAAGCTGTCGTTGGATGTGGTGTACCTCAAGGATCAATTCTTGGACCATAAACTGTCTTGCTATATGTGAAGGATAATCATAGACGCTCGAATAAAATTAGGTTTTGCCTTTTTGCAGACGACAATAACATTTTGTATGCGGAAAAAAATCTGAAAGACCTTGAAAAAGTAGTCGACTACGAGTTAAAAAATCTTTATAACTGGTTGACAGCCAACAAGCTAACTCTTAACACTAAAAAACCAGCTTTGTAACTTTCGAGCTGCAGGATTATATTAAGACGCCCTTGATTCAACTCAATCGAAAGGCGCTCTTTATNATTTGTTATTCTTATGTTTATAGTCGGTTGCTCAAAACCTAGCATAGCTGCATACGATATACAATGTGCAGTTACCAAATACAACCGATGCAGAAAGACAATCATCTATCTCATTTTGCACTTTGTTATTTTATCTAAATGTCGCTTAAGTGTCTTAATTCTAAATTATCGCTCAAAGTAATTTGTGATAAGCTTAAATCCGGTTTAAAAAAATCTTAGTTCTGCATTAGATGATTGAAATGGACATGAAATCAAATGACTTAACTCACTCAGACTTGGCGAGAAAATTGTCTGCCATTGTCGAATTCCGTTTAATCTATCGATTAAGCAAAAACCACTTTACGTGCTACGAAAACGTT